ATTATAGAATCTTAGTTCTGCCGCTTGCTATTGGTCTGGCCCTGGCTGGGATACTTAACTTCTTTTTGCCTTGATTTTCTCATCTTTAAAATGGGGATAAGGCTATTTCACAAAGTTATAAAGATTAAACTAGATAATGTATATAAGTGCTTAACACAGTAGTGGGAACATAAGCTCCCAGTTACAAGTGTTATGATCTGGAGCTAGACCCACTTGTCTCTTGTCAGATTAGAGAGTATGATTAGAAAGTATAGCATTTGAGTGGGCAAATATTTGGCTCATTCTTTAAATGTGAGCTGGGAATTATAATGCAACTATTTTATTTAATAAATGTAAAAGTTGAGTCATATTATAAACTATTTTCCAGATAAACCAAGTAAATTAAATATATATGTAACTCTATGTTCTTGCACTTTGGGTTTTGATTTGGCAAGATTTGCATGAAATGATCTTTCAAGGAAAGAAGGAGTGAAGGAGAGAGGAAGGAGAGAGGGAGGAGAGGAAGAAAGAAAAAGTAAATGAGTAGCAGAGAGAGGGAAAGGAACGTGATTTTTTTCAAACATTTTCTTTTTTATTTAAGGATTGCAAGGGAGATTTTTTTAAAGAGCCCCTTTAATCATTGCCAATATAATTTTTTAAAGGTGATTGCTTTTAAAGGATACCTTTCTCTCGATTGTATTTGTCACTCATCGTGAAGCAATGACTCTGTGTTCATAGAGAGCTTTCAGAAAGTCTCAGAACTGTGGCCATCAAGTCACTTGATTGTTTACTCTTGTTACAGAAGGAAGGAAACATGCAGTTCCATGTCCAGAGATATTTAATATTCAGACCAAAACCACAATATGTGAATTAGCTTTAGTCCTGAAAATTCAAAGTTGATTCCTTCTAGCAGGTCACTTAATTAATAAGTAAAATGCAATTACTTTACTCATTACAGAGCTGAAGAAAAAATAACACATTAAGACCAAGAAGGAAGATAATTACACTATAACTGAAGGCCATTTTGACAATCATTTTCGACAAACAAGGTCGTAGTTACTTACAAATTCAATCCTGTATACTCAACCTCTCATTTGGAGCAGGAAAATGAGCAGTGGTGGGAGTGGGGTCACATAGAAAAGGGCGTCAGAACAGGAGGGGCTCTGTGTGATGACACAAGTTTTGTAGGACTGGGAAGAAGGGATGTTGATGTCAGAGCCAGGAGGGAAATTTCTGAATACTTTGATTTTCTAAAACTTTAGAACAGAGAGATAAATAAAGAAAAAAAATTATTGAGAGACATAAATGACTTGGAAGTTAATTTCAGAAGTGTTGGAGCAGTAATAAAAAATGTTTCAAAGACATAACTAAAAGTGGGGTCTAAGTTTTAGGCTTATTGCCTGTTTCTGAGGTTTGCTCTCGTTTGCTAGAAAATGCTATTGAGGTTTTGCTGTAAAGAAATAGAAATTCTTTAACTTTTATTTGAGTCCCAACTGAAAAATAGAAGTGTCCTTCTACATGTTCCTAACTCCTTCAAATGACCTAATATTGAAAGCTTCACTCTGTGAGAGGAGAGTGAATGACCACACTCTGTTTTTACAGATACACACAGACCTCTTAAAACATGGTATCCGCTCCAAGCCCAGAAGAGGATTTTAGAATAAATAGAGTTGGTCCTTGCATTATTTCCTGAGTTCAGCAAAGGCTGCAAGTTCCTAGTCTCAGGCACAATAAAACAGCTGCAGTCCATGATAAGAAAGCACTGGGTCCACAGCCCCGTTTGCTCAGCCCAAACCCTGCAGACTCAGAGTCCCCTGTGCTGGTCTTCCCTGACCTCGCAGAAGGGCTTCTCTGCCTCCAGGGAACTTCCATATCAGATGACACTCTCACTGATCACATGCAAACGTCCACACTCGCTCCTCTGAGGAGATTCTGGTCTCCTCTCTGGAGTGTGTTGATCACCACCCATTTCCCAACCCACCAATTCTGCTGATCAGACTTCTTTAATGATAGCCACCCAGGAGTGCTTCTGGGATAGAACTTACGTGTGTCGCCTTCTTTTGCATATAGACCCTGGATTCTCTTGCTGGGATAATGCTTTTGAAAGCATTCTGGCCCACCTTAAACCATAAGATCTGTGACTTTCCCACATGTACTGAGTTTATCTGATTTCTGGTGTATCCTTTTGGGGGCCACTTTCTACCATTCTGGTGAGACTTTTCTAGTATGGATTCTGTCAGGATCCAAAATGGCCCCAGGCACTTTGGTCAGTCCATTCTATGTGCCTAAATAGTACTGTCTAAAGCCACCAAGGGAATATATTTGTCTCAAAGGTTAGTACTAAGCCCAGGACTTCAGAGGTTCTGAGATGAAATACCCACTAACACACCATTGGTTGGCTGAACATGGATTGGTGAGCCACTTCATTTGCCCAACCTCTTTGCCTAGTCTAGCCATGAATGCTTCTAACACTCCATATCACTAAAAAACCCCACCAAGCCACAGGGGTCAGGTGTTTGTCATTTATCAGAAGAGAACAAATACTTCTTTCAAGGTTTACTAAAACATCACAGTGAAATGCCTAAAGAAATGAAAGTGCTCAGGACTTCTCTGTTCCTTGCATGATCTCACAGATCTCTTTTGCCTCTAAAAATGTATGACTTGGGGGGTTCCAGAGGAAGAGAAAATGGCAAAAGCAGGTTGTGAAGATGAGTAGGTGTCTGGTAATAACTACACAGTGTACAAATATTTATTGAGCATCTACTGAGAGCAATCTCTGGTCTAGGTGTGGAGACAGAACAGTGCCTACCCACGTGCAGCCTTCGTTCTTGCAGGCTGATCTGAGGATGTGAGAGCCATGACATTCACAGCCCTCCCTGCCATTTCTTGGAGCCTTAGTGCTGTCACTCATTCTGAAGTCAGGAGGGCTGCTGCCTGAGAAGTACACTGATCAGATTGTGTTCATAAATAAGCCCAGATTGGCTCTAATATTTTATTTTCCTCCACTTGTTTGATGTCCACCTTTTAAGCTATTTTCTTCTCTTCTCAATTCTTATTCCAGAAGTATGTTCATTTCTAGCCAGACTGCAAATAGAGTATTCATTGGAGACTGTCTGAAACTGGAGCCTAATTATTTATCAAGTTGTCTTGTCTTAGTTTTCTATTTAGCTGGTGGGACTGTTTATAGATTTCTGGATGTGTTTATCAAATAGGCTCATTTGGCCCTATTTACAAAAAAACATAGAAAAAACACACACGTTTCCCCATTTTTTCAATACTTTCATCTTAGAACCTTCTAAGTGGCCTAAAAATAACATTGATCGTAGTAAACAGTTATTTACTGAGTCCTTACTGAGTTCATTACCAAGCATGGGGCAAAGCATTTGACCTGCATGACTTCATCAGACCTTAGGAAACCCTCTGAGGCAAGTGCTATTAACATCTTCTTTTGTAGCCCTGAGAAGTTAACGAAGAGGCCTGGGTTACATGGTTAGTACAAAATTTTTTTTTTTTATCAAAGTGTACCTAACAAGGGGATTCTGATATGTGGCATGTGGCAATATGGTTTCAAAACTTGGTTTCCTGATTATGACTTCAGGGTGGTTTGAATTAAAGGGAGAAATACCACACCGGAGCAGAAGCAGAGGGAATCCAGCCACTGTTCTGCCTCAGACTATTGCTGTGTTTTTCTAGAATAAGAGTGTTTCCTTGTGCTGTCACCTCAAAAGTTAGCAATGTGATGCCTCCACCAGGGAAGTCAGGTACTTCTTCCTCTTGACCCCTCTGGACTTTATTTATATAGACACAGCACTTATCACATATATTATAAAATATCTGTATACATGTTTATCATCCCAGTAAGATGTGAGCTCCCTGCAGTCCTGGCCCATACTTTTGTGCTTCTCTGAAGCCCGGATGCTGGGCACACACTGGAAAGACAGTAAATGTTCACTGAATATGCATTTTTAAATGCCCTATATATCCTTGTTTCCTTTAGTAACTCCTTATATATTCATAAACTCACTGAAATTATCTCTGAAGCTTATTTCCAACTTGTTTCACCTCATAAGTGAACAAACAGTATAAGTTTACTACCCGCTGGGTAAAATGATGGCTTCTTGCATTTGTTGTCAAAATGTTTCCTTTAAATTTCCTAGAATTGAACCTTCGTACACTGTTGGTGGGAATGTAGATTGGTATAAACATTATGGAAAACAGCACAGAAGTTCCTCAAAAAATTAAAGATAGAACTGCCATATGATCCAGTCATCCTTCTCCTGGGTATATCCCCCAAGGGAATGAAATCAGTATCTCAGAGAGATATCTGCACTCCCGTGTTACCGTAGCATTACTCACAAGTAAGCAGCCTAAGCGTCCATCAACAGGTGAATGGATAAAGAAATACATACATACAATGGAATATTGTTCAGCCTTAAGAAAGAAGGAGATCCTACCATTCGTAACAACGTAGATGAAACTGGAAGAGATTGTGCTAAGTGAAGCCAAACAAAGAAAGACAAATACCACATGATCTCATTTGGATGTGGAATCTAGAAAAAAGTCAAACTCGTAGAAACAGAGACTAGATTGGTGGTTACCGGGGGTCGGGGCTGGGGAAATGAGGAGATGTTGGTCAAAGGGTACAAACTTGCAGTTAGAAGATGAGTATGTTCTGGAGACCTCATGTACAGCGTGATGCCTATAGTTATTAATAATGTATACTGGAAATTTGCTGAGAGAGTAGACTTCAGGTGCTCTCAACACACACATAAACGCACACACACACACACACACACACACACACACAATAGGTAACTGTGTAAGGAAATGGATTTGTTAATTTACTTGACTGCAGTAATCCTTTCACTCCGCATATGTATATCAAACATCATTTTGTACACCTCAAATATATACAACTTTTATGAAAAAAAAATTGTGGAATTATAACGTAATAACCACATTTAGAAGCAGTGCCTTCCTTTCATCATATTGGTTTTTTTAATGATTCTTTTGTTTTCCAGGAAGGTGATGTCTGGCCCAACTCATCAGCTGAAATCACTGTGTTCTTTAACCCTCTAGAAGCCAGGCTCTACCAACAGACCATTTACTGCGACATTTCAGGTAGAGACCTCCTCCATGTAGTAAACTCAGGTTACCAAGTGCCCAGAGCTATGAAGTGGGGCGTCTGCGTGTATGTGTGCTCGGGCCATGGTCAGGGCACCATATCAGTGAGGGAATAATGGAGCCAAGCAATGCCCCTGTCACCTCTTTCCAGAACAGATCAAACTTTAAAATGCCTTACAGTTGTGGTGGGTAGGGGAAATGGGAACCATGGATCTTACAGCAGTAAGGTCATTACTCGTGACAAATTCCCACAGTGTTATTTTTTGGGCCTTTTGTAGTATTTGGCTACTAATTTTTTTCTTTTGAAGTTTTAATCAAAATAATGCATGCCAAGTGGGATGGGAAGGCAGCCTGGCAGAGGCCAGAGCAACAAGGAGGGTGTACAAATAGGGTAGCAACCTGATGGCATTCAGGAGATTCAATGATACAGAAGGATTAAACAAAAAAGTAAATATATTGAGGATGATGGGAGCCAGTATTTTTCACTCCTGGAGGAAGGAGATACAAAGAAGGCCAAGATAAACCCTTTGGAATTGGCGTTGTCAGTATGAACTCGTTGTTGTTGATATGTATAGATAGATACAGAAATAAATATATGTGTAAATGGGCGTATATGCAGATGTACATAAATGTGTATATTTCCTGACTGTGTCCATTGAGAGATCCTGGAAGCTCTGAGACCCTCCTAGCAATGAGCACACAAAGCACCCAAAGCTTGGTTTCTGAATGCCACTCCCTAGTGAAAGGACCTAGCTGATTCCAGGACCGAGGCAGAGAAAGAACAGGATGAGCCTGGAACATTCCCTTTGCTGCAAAGTAAGGAAGGGCTCAAAGAATGTTGGGAACATGTCAAAATGACACAGAAGCCAGCAAAGAAACTCCCACTGACCACATTTGGAACAAGCCGAGAATCAAAATAAATAATGATATTAATAGATTATAATCCATTGATCAAATAGGAATCTATGAATCCACTTAATAAAAACGTACCATTTGGCAGTCACCGCAGTAATAACCAATTCAGGTAAAAAGCATCAATGGATCTTAAAGTAATGGGTGAAAGTGGGGCATGGAAGAGGATTTTATGTAGTCTCAAAATATCTTCCCTTAAAATACTTATCAATGATAAAGGGGAGAAGACTAAGTGAAGAAGCCTGGTAGATGCTGTCTTTGTTAATCCCAGCAGTAATGGAGCAAATCAACCTCTGGAACAGTAGCTGGTGCTATTTACTTGTGCGGTTTTATGTGTGGGTTTCCCAGGAGAGTGTCGTGCGGAGGTTACTTTAAACTGGGGCTAGAGTAGTAAGAGTGCACAGTCCTTGAAGTCCTTTCAAATGCAAATATTCCACTACTCAGTGGAAGAATGACCCATGTAGTCACTCTTCTCTGTGTAAAAAGGGCAGTGTAAGAACACGCAGAAGGATGGTCTGCCTGACCTGAGCCTGCGCTGCCCCTCACCTTCCCCGGATAGGACCATCACCTTGACTTTTATGACAGTCATTCTCTTGCTTTCATGTATAATTTTACCACCTAAAAAGTCATCCCTGAGCAAAATAGTGTAGTTTTGCCTGTTTTTGGAATTTATATCTTGGAATCATACAGTTTATCTTCTCCAGCTAGCACCAAGAAAATAAAGCTACTTAATAATTGTTGATTGAATGAATGAGCAAATAACTGAAAAAAATGAATGAATGATTGATTGAATCCCAGTTTAATCTGGTCTCTCCCTTGCACATGAGTGGGGGATTCTTAAGATGTCCCTAGAATGAATGCAGAATGGTCTGGGAGTTTCTGGATCAACATAAGTCTGTCTCCACACTTCAGACCAGCGTCACCTACACCAGACTTCCTAACGGGTCTGGAGGAAATGTTGGTCCCACAGTGTCGGACTTGGGCCGGAAAGGCTCCAGTGGCTCCCGTGCCACAGGTGGTGGGACCTGCCTCCCATCTGCAGCTCCCCGTGGACATCGTGCTTGGCCTTATTCCAGGGGGTTGGCTGCTCTCCGGGAGGTTCCCAAACATTACACAACTAGTCGTATTTATCTATTGTTTCGTTTATAATTCCGAATTCTACCACAGAATTCACATCCTGGGTAAACTGAATAGTATAATTTTCCATCTGCATGACATTCTTCTTTATTTTGTTAGTGGTTTATTAAAAGATACGATTGCTAGAGAAGGGCTTTGTTTACATGGTAATTTCATGTTATCTTCCCTGTAAATTCTATGCAATTCTCTCTGTCTTTTCAAGGGCTAGTGATGATTCCTTACTATTATCTTCAATGCGTTGGCAAAACCTCCTGGTCTTAGGTCACTAAGAAACACATCTTAGGCAGACAGAAAAGCTCCTTCGCTTGTTTTGTTTTGCTTTGCTTTACTCTGAGATATATATGGCATATAGAAGCAAATACACATAGATATGTGTCCGTTTCCCTCTCGTGCCTTTTTACGTAAATGATAGTATACTTTATACAATGGTTGTAACATTGCTTTTTAAATATTTTTTAGAGATTATTCCATAACACTAAATAAAAGGTGTCATTCTTTTTCATAGTTGTATAGGAATCCTTTGTATTTACATACCACAATTTAATTTTTAACCTTGTGTCATTATAATATAGAATATAGATCCAAAAATGCACATAATACACACAGTGGTAGGCGCAATAGTAGCCTCCCAAAGATGCCCATGTTCTAATCCCCACAATCTGTAAGCATGTTCCTGTGGATATATTATATTACACGGCAAAGAGGCATGAAGGCAGCAGATGGAATTAAGGTTACTAACAAGCTGACCTTACGTTAGGGAGATTACCCTGGGTCATGTGGGTGGCTCACTGTAATCATCAGGGTCCCTAAATGTCAAAGAGGTAGGCAGAAGTATTGGTCTCAGTGTTAGAATGATGCAGTATGAGAAAGTCTTGACCAGCCATCTCTGGCTTTAAAGATGGACGGGGCAAGGAATTCAGGCGCAGCCTCTAGAAACTGGAAAAGGTGAAAAAAAAAAAAAAAAGATTTTCTCCCAGAGCTTTCAGAAAGGAACACAGCCCTACCACACCTTGATTTTAACCCAGTGAAACCCACTTTGGACTTCTGACATCTAGAACTTTAAGATAATATGTTTGTACAGTAAGCCACTAAGTTCGTGACAATTTGTTATAGGAGCAATAGGAAACTAATGCACATGCATATACATTATAACAAATAATTATAAGGCAAACACTATGTAATTGCCACCGAGATCAATAATAGGATATTCCCAGCCCCCTTGAAGCCCGCCGTGTGTCCCTTCCCAATCACACTCCTCTCACTTCAACCTCCCCTGAGATAATCGCCATCTGACCTTTACAACCATCCAGTCCTGGCTTTCATTTGTAGTTTTTACTCCATGTCTATATCCCTAAACAATACAGTTTAGTAATGCCTGTTTTGAAATGTAACTGAAATCAGCCTGCATGTCTCATCCATGCTGTTGCTTTTGCTCTAGCCCTATTTCATTTTCATTGTTGTACAATGTTCCCTTCTGTGAACGTACGTTCAGAGACAGGAAGTAGCAGGGAAGGCCACTGGTCTTGAGGGAGTTCTCTCAGGATACATGAGATTTAACCCGCATCTCCAGCTGCAACCTTCTTTTCTTTCGAAAGCTATTTACTTATTTTATTTGAGACAGAGTCTCACTCTGTCACCCAGACAGGAATGCAATGCAATGATGATAGCTCACTGTAATCTTGAATTCCTGGGCTCAAGTGATCCTCCTGCCTCAGCCTCCTGAGAAGCTAGGACTACAGGTGCATGTCACCATGAGGGGTTAATTTTTTTCTTTATTTTTTTGGAGAGATGAGGGTCTAACTATATTGCCCAGGCTGGTCTCAAACTCCTGGCCTCAAGCAATCTTCCTATCTCAGCCTCCCAAAGGACTAGGATTACAGGCATGAGTCACTATGCCCAGCCTGAAAGCTTTTTATATCTAGGCATCCTGAGTACAAAGATGTACAGAAGCATAGTTCCCACCCTCAGAAAGCACAGAACTGAATGGAGGAAACGGACACGTACGCCAACAGTTTATATTGCAACGCTACTCAGTGCATGGATGATAATAGAAGAGGGTACAGGGCATACAGCTCAGTCTTAGGTGTCAAGGAAGGCTCCCAAGAGAAAGTAACTCTTCATGTATTTGTTAATCAAGTAAAAACAAAAACAAAAAGGCTTGTCAGGCAGGGAAATACTTTGTGAAAATACGTAGAGAAACATTGTGTGAAAATATATAGCAAGAGTAGGAAACGAGAAAAAATTACAAGTTCTTAGGGTGTGGCTGCCATGGAGATTGAGAGAGAGACCATCAGACATACTGACCAACTGACTGACTGACTGACTGACTGACTGACTGGCTTGGGAGGGGAGAGGCAGTGCCAGGAAACGAGGCTGCAGGCTGGGGAATAGTGGGTGGGGTCCAGTTGGTGAAGGTCTGCGCTGGAACGCCAGACTGAGAACGTGGGACTTTATGCGAAGTGAAGTCAGCAATCACTGAAGGGCTCTAAGCAGGGGAGCGATCTGCTCAGATCTGAATATGGCAAATTTAACGTCATGAGCATCTTTTCAGTTAATCTGAAACTGAACACTTTTTCTACATTTGAAATCATCAGATTTTCTTAGAAGTAGTTAAATCTGTATGTTAGATATTTATAAAGACTTGCTGGCGGTTTGATCTGGGTCTTGGAACTGATCTTTCATCTATTTGGACTTTCCAGTGGAAGGTGGACGTTCCTGACTTAATCATGAAGATTACCTTTTTAAACAAATGCAAAGAGCAACTCCACAAACGAGTTTAGATCAGCATATGGGAACTTCGAAAGGAAGTAACACTTTCTAATTATAAATGAAATGTATTGCTAGATAACATTGTTAACGGGTGCTTCAGAGTCAAATGCAGAAAAGCTGCATGGTGGAAATGATTCCGGATGCACCCACTTCCTTCAGTACCAATTAAGATGAAACCT